AGGGAGAGAGAGAGGGAGAGAGAGGGAGAGAGAGGGGGAGAGGGGGAGAGAGAGAGGGAGAGAGAGAGAGAGAGAGATTTAAATAATAAATACCGTTTTAAAACGTAATTATCGAGTGCACCTTTTCCCCCTACTTCCGTACCATCATTGGTACACTGTACGCCCGCGACTGCGTCGGGCGCTTCCTTTGCTCCGCAGCTCGGTTCCAAGCAGGAGAACAGATTTTTGTGTCATCACAGAGCATTTAGTTGGCAAGCACTGGCGTAGGCCGATGAGATAACGAAACTACTAAGTACGAGAAAGTTTGTGCAATTCGTAGCACCACTAGTTTACAATTGGTAGAAGTCTATTAAAAATTATTATCTTTTAACAAATATATATATATATATATATATGTATAGTTTAGGATTGTTACCAAGAAACTAATTTAATAAACTGTTCCGCAAGTTTTCTTGATACACGAGCTCCCTAGTCCTCATCCAGCGCTGATAGCACGGCACGTTGACATACTTAGGTTTGACTCGGAACGGCAGTACTCATTTACAATGCTGGCAACAACCACCGCGTACTTTCAAAACAATCGTAGCATTTCTAGTGCCATGATTTGGTGAATTAAGTTCATGCCCACAGTTGGTATGCCCTTTTAAACCGTGCCGTAGCCATATCCTTCCTCTCCCCGCACTCCCCGCTATGGAATATCAAGAAAACTTGCGCGTATAGTACACAATCACGATGACAAACATTAAACCCACATATTTTCTTTTTTTAAATTTGTTATAGTATTTTACACAACTTTATTATTAGCTTAAGGACAATTAACAATTCTTGCAATAAATATTACACAAAAATTGAATTACATTTGTATAATTTCTTCTCCTATATTTCAAATATTGAGGATCTAATTTAATCCCTGGCCTTCAAGTGCAAATATGAAGTTCGCAATATTCTGTAAATATTTGTTTCTGTAGTAATTACACAATTGCCTGTGTATTGTTTTTAGTGAAATCATTATGAGTGCTTGATATTAATAAGTTTCTACTGATTGATAAGAAATATGACTGACAATTTTCATGTTTGTAAATGAGAACAAATTTATTATTGCGTACAAAAATACTCATCTAGATTTTTATCAACTACTATTACCTGCTTAAAAACAGTTTTCATTTCTCGCGGCGATTTCCATCGCGATGATCTTCATCTGAAAAAGTCGTATTGGGAGGAAAATTGGATAAATCTTTCTCTTATATTTTGAAACTAACTTACTTTAATACATTGTATAGTCAAAATAAAAAAAAATCGTGCGGCTATGATACCGTAATTTTGGTTTGAGGCTGTGACTTTCATCAAATAGAAATTCCCGATTGATGGGCTTAAGTCGTAGCTCCTTGAATTTAAAACGAGAATTTTGATTTTTGGGGCATATTTTACCTGAAGTCCTAAAAATACTTTCAAAATTTTCTCAAAAATGGGCACTTTTTTCTTGGAAAATTCAATGTCAAATAGCTTTTAAATATACGTGTTTAAATATGACATGCGACAGATTTTCGCTAATTTTTCTGATTTTTACACCCTAGTTTCTATATAAAGATGAAAAACATGGGTGAGCAGGTACGGCGCATCGAATTATGCTCGTTTGCGCAGCGTGAACGTATGTCACGAACCATGTGACCACCCTTTGAAAAACCATGCTGTATGGCAAACGAGTGTTGAGAAATATTTTGAAAGTGGAATAAAGTGACAATATTCAACGGCGACCAACCAATGTTACGCGATGAAGGTGCTTGTAAATAATAAATGTGATGTCACACGCATCTTGGCATCCGCAAAATACAGCCCCAAACAGTAATTCTTTAGGACTCGCTTTCGCGCATAGCAAAGGTTGCCATTCAACTTTCCCGGCAAACGATGTGACGTGTCTTTCGTAGGCCACGGATATCTCTATACACCAATTTAAACAGTGGCACTTGGCACTATAGATCGCGAGGTGAAAGGAGGAGGGGATATTATCATCCATTCGGAAACTCCAATACCAAAAGTTTGTCATAACAAATCTTCGGATTTGATGTAAGGGTCCCAATCTCCGAGCAGTTTATACATTCAAGTATCACTTTATTTAAATTGGAGATAAGTATTCCAGAGAGTGTTGCTGAACCTTACATGTCACGTTGGTCAGCTATTCAGTTTACCAACTTAAGAAATATACACACAGCCGTGTGACCTGCATCTGACAGATCTCAGCTGTAGCGGCTCTATTTGTATATATATAGTGATAGACCGGAAATTATTTTAGCAAGAAAATAACAGCGGAGTTTGAAACTTGTTATGATGTTTAAAGAAGTACACTAACTATTATAATCAGGAAGTAGGGTGGGTGATTTTAAGAATTTTTATAAATGATCTCTAATGTGCCTTAATTTGCCCATGTATGTGTGTTTATTTACATAAACACCCATAATTTAATGTGTAGCTTATCCTCTATTTTTGGACATAATAATTTTAATAATTTCTTTTTAATTCAGTGCATTTTAATACATCTTTGCAACATTTCTCTTCTACAAACTGATGAATGTTTGACTGACATAGCCCCAGTTCTATCCAAGCAATAGGATTTGATTAATAGAACTTATATACAAGATGATGTATGAAGATTGGTTGTGAAGGTCTCGAGTTAATTGAAAATCGAATGGAAACATCTCAGTGATTTAATACTTACAGTTATCCTGAATTATTATCAGAGAACTTAATAATTTCAGTACAATGGAAGATGGCAAGCCTGTCATTTACGGTCTTGAATTCCAAGTAAGAAGCTTTCTTGTTCTTTCTAAGTATTCTTCTTATAAATTGTTCAGAATGATCATAGGCATTAGCTCTTTATTCTGCTATGAAATGCCCCATCTTTATAGTAGAATAAACTGTGTTTGTTTGTGAAACGTTTTATTTCACAATACTTATGTTTTGCACTTTGGTTCTTCATAAAAATAATTATAAATAGTGTGCATCACCCATCTTAAAAAGAGTAACATTTTTGTTGAGCATCCTTTGGAATGGTGACATCTTATTAATGCATGGTTCTTTAAAAGTATTCGTATCTTTATTTCAAAAACTAATTGACATGAATTTTAAAATCTTTGTTGATGGTTCTTTTTCTGGGAACCATTATCAATCAAAATTATGAAAAAATAATTTTCTGTAAAATAATTTTTTTTAAGTTGACGTACTGAAAATATTTTTATTTTGCCTATTTGAGAATCGTCATATTTGATAAATAATTTTTCAATATTTCTTTGGTTAGAGTGAGGAGTACGTATTGGTTGTATTCAAGTAATTTAATACATGAATAACGCTTATCAGTTGTTTTTTTTATTTTAATGAAGTTCATGTAACTGCCCAGATTTTTCTGTTTTCATTGCTGTAGAATGATTAAAATGTTTGTCATTTCTTCTTTCTTAAAAAATTTAATGTAACGCAATTAACAAACTTTAATGAACCAGAGAGTATGGTAGCATATGGGAGTGGTTCTCAAAGGGTGAGCCACAGAATTAGGTGGGTGTATTCTACAAATATTTAATAAGGAAAATATGAACACACAAAACAGTTGCTTGCTATTTGATGATTGATTGTTCTGAATGTGTAATAAATAGTCCCTATTACTTTTACAATAAAAAAAAATTAAGGAAAAAATATAACATATTTGGAAATTTATCTACTTTTTAATTGTAAATTCACCAATAGGCATTATTGAACTGCAAAAATAATGAGAACTACAAACTATATATTCAGAATCATAAAACATAATACATGAAATATGTAGGAATTGTTATTTATTAACATTGAAACTATAACTAAGACCATTGCATCACAAACTGGCCAATTTAGGAAGTTCTGTTAATAATATTGTAATTAAATAAGATATGTAGGTGTTTACTTTCACTCAATAGTTGAATACAGAAAGGCATTGCAAATAAACACACCTGTAAATCCTAAACCACAGAAGAAAGTTGAATTTTTATTTTCAGACAATGTTGAAAATCTCTAATTGCATTGGTAGGCTCCATGTTGAAAACTGATATTGTATAGAAGGTACCTTCAGAGCAAATTTTCTGATGGTTATAAAAGTGTCACAAGCCCAAAATGAGAACCACTGGCTTATGGCAAAAAACTGGCATTGGTTGGGGAAAGAAAAAAAAGGAAAAAGAAAAAGAGGGAGGGGGGAAAAAATCATGAGGAATTCAAATTAGTCATTTTATATTAATAATTATTTACATAAGCTAAATCATAAATCTACTTTGCATTCATTTAATTGTTTATCATCACTTTTTTTTTAAGGTGGTAGCTCTTTCCTTAATATTGAAGTGAATAGCCCAATGTATGAAATTAAAATGTTTTGTACAACATTAGTATTAATATATTCTATGGGGTTGCAGGCCAGAGCTCTTGCAGCACAAGTAGCAGAGTCAGAAACAATTCGGTTTCTTGTGGGAACACAATCTTTGAAACTTGAAAATAACCAAATCCACATTGTGGAATTGCATGAAGATTCTGGGACTTTATCAACCCAAGTATATCAACATGCAGCAGGGGAAGTGTGGTCTTTAGCTGCTTCTCCTGGAGATTCTAGCAAGATTATTACATGCTTCAATACACTATCTGGTAAGTTTAATTCAGTGATTACAAGAATCAAAGGCAATGAGACTCAGTATAAGGAGTTTTTCATTTGTGAAATATTAATCAGCAGAATTTTTATGTATGCATCTACTGTATTCATAGTTCACAAAGGAAGTTCTTCTAAATACATAGGATTTTCATTGGGGCATTTTTCTAAATATTCTCATCCTACCAGGTAGCTGAGTATGTCCTGCGAGTAACATTATTTGATTTGACTGGTTTTGTAGGATTAACATGTTTTAATACAGAAATTGACGTTTGTTGAGAAGGTGTGTGTTTCAATGCTTAGTGTCCTATATCTTTCTTATAACTCTTTTCTTTAATAGAAAATGGATGTCAAGTTAAAGCTGCTTTATGGAATCTCCCTAACCTGGATAGCATATCAACCTTGAATCCAAAAGATGAAACTGACAAACTACCTCAATTGGAAAAAGTGTGTTCCCTGGAGGCAAAAGAGCAGGTGCAAGATGTACGTACTGTAGCTTTTCACCCAACAGATGGTCAACGTGCTGTGAGTGTTCTGGACAGCCAGTGTATGCTCTGGGATTTAGGGCAGAATGATGCAAGGGTATGTAGTTTGTAAATTATTCAGTGCTTTGTAATCTTTTTGTTGTTTTCTTGAGAGTTGGTAATAAAAAGAAGAGGGGACCTACTATTTTTTAATGTTGTAAATATTCCAAATTAAAATGATAACTTTGAGTGTTGGCATTCCCCAATTTTTTTGCTTTAAGTGGTATTAGTTTGCCAGTAATGCCACAACTTACCACTATACGTATGTGACAAAAACATGTAAGGTGTTACCCTTTAATAGATTCAATGTTGTTTTTCGAATTTAAGAAGTATGTAACACATTTAGAGATAGGATAATTCAAAATGCATCAGATTAATAGCTGAACTTAGAAAACAAAGACTACTTAAATTTCAATACACACTTTAAATTTTCACACATCAATTGTGAATATCTTGCCATTGAAAGACAAGCTTTTATCATGCTAAAATAGACATGCAGTTTTCTTTTGAAGGTACATAATCTTTCTTATGGTACACGTCTTTAATAGCATGGATGTTTAGTTCATATAAAGTATTCAAGTAACCTGTGACCACACACCTGGTTAGATCCCTTCTCATCCATCAATCAAAAGATGTCTTTTCAAAAAGCAATTTTGGACAATTTTTAAAAATGTATGTATTTTATATAAAATACACCTTAAAGTTAAGATTATTTTGAATGGCTGAAGTTAGGTGTAGATCAATTGGGAAATATCAATTTTTAAGCATGAATTTTGTATTGTATATGAATTCATACGTTTCCAAAGCTTTCTAAAAATATTGTTCCAATTTTTTGCTTAAAATTTTGGCCCAAATACAAGATTGTTAGTTTTATTTTCATTTAAATGTATACATGTGTAAAAATTGCTACAATTCAACTTCTCTCCTACAGCATTATTGAAGCTATAAATATTTTTCTTAATTTAATATCTGCAGTATCAGCACAGTTTCATATACCTTTTCTTTTCCCAAAATTTTCATGAATTTGTAAATTTGGGGAATGTATGTATGTAAAAAGTAAAGTTACAAAAATAAATAAAAATCTGTTTTTCTTCATGTCTTCTTGGTTACTTAGGTAACTACCACTGTGTCTCTTGAGGGCAAAGGACATCCACGTTTCACTACAGGGAAATGGAATCCTCACCACAATTATTCCCAGTTTGCTACTGCCCATGATAGCCACGTTCGCAGTTGGGATCTGCGATCTCCACAGACACCAGCCTGGAGCATTGAGAGTGCTCATTGCCAACTCGTGAGGTCAGGTCTTTGCCAGAATGTACTTTTGAATCACAAGTTACATTTCAAAGTATTTATTAGTATTGCAAGTAGCATAGGACATTTGGGAGAATGTTGCATGTACAGGTGGATATATTTATGAGTAAAGGTTGAAATTTAATGAATATAGTAATTAAATAGTATTTGGTCTTAATTTTTTTATAGTTTTAAGCACTACCTTGTTCAAGAGATTCATTAAAGTCATCATAAATGGTCAAATTTTTGACATTCATTGGAATCTGTTTAATATGTTAATATTCCTAATTTTTTTTTGTGTTAAAAGTGAAATTAGAGAAATATTGTAGTTTATGGATAAATTCTTTCTCATTGGATACAAATACCTTATGATGCTTATTTGTTAAAAGGTGTTGACATTTACTCTTGTTAACAGGGATGTAGATTTTAATCCTAATAAACAATATTACTTGGCCACATGTGGTGATGATGGCTGTAGTAAATTCTGGGACTCAAGAGATCCGTCTGAACCAATTGCTGTTCGCTCTGATCATTCTCATTGGTAAGAATCGATAACAGTACACTCTTATTCTGGTATATGTGGAAGGAACTACTATTTCAGTTTTCTTGTATCTTCAGTTCCCTTCTGTATTGGGTGTGCTACATTCATGCATCTTCAGTTGCAATAGAACTTGTTAATATGAATATGAACAAAAACCTATACAGATTTTCTGCTTACATTTTTCAGTTACCAGAATTTGCTACCAGGGCTTTTTAATATCAGCAATTTGCTAGTGTTGTCATGCTAGCATCTTGAAAACTCAGACCTTATTTCTAACTAAATTTCTTGAACCGTGGAATCTGGTTACTGCGGAATAAAAATGGTTTAACATTGCATTTTCTTTTGTTATGTTTACTCAAGTGCTTTTAGTTGTTGTCGTCAAGTTATTGGCAAGGATAAATTATTTATCCTTGATGAATCCTATTATGAAATTCCTTTTTGAAACTCTTAATATTCACTCGTAACATATTTCAACATATACTGAAAGGAACTCTTTTGAACTGTTAAAGATGATTAAAAACATTTCATCATTTGTTATAGAAATAAAATTTCTGTAGAAAAATGTGTCAGATTCAAATTGATGCAAAGTTGTACATTTTGAAAATGTTCATTTATAATCCTTTCTTTATCCTCATGTATGTGATGGTTCTATACATAAATTAAGAATAAAATGAACTTTTCAGGGTGTGGCAAATACGATTCAACCACTTTCATGACCAATTGATTTTAACATCAAGTAGTGACTCTCGAGTAATTTTGACAAGTATGGCATCTATTTCATCAGAACCATACTCTAATTCAGGAGCTGATGAAGTAGCTGAAGCTGAAAGTGAACAACGAAGAAAGTAAGTTTCCTTTATTCTCATGAGCTCTATTTATTATTAATAATAAATGTATTTCATATATCTAGTGACACCCAGAAAATAAGTCAATTTGCATACACTATATATTGTAATTATCAATCCATTATCAACCTACTCATTACTGTGCAATGTATGTGGTGCCTTCAGTAGTGCAACTAATTGTGAATATTCAAAAAAAATAATGGAGACACATTTAATTTTGTTTCAGATTAGAAGATGGTGTTTTAGCAACTTATGAGGAACATGAAGATTCAGTATATTGTGTTGAATGGTCTTGTGCTGACCCATGGACATTTGCTTCGCTAAGCTATGATGGAAGACTAGTTATAAATCAAGTTCCTCGAGAAGATAAATACAAGATTCTTTTGTGACTGAAGTTACCATTTTCTTTGCACTCTGTATATTATTAATACTGAGTGTGAATATCATATATTATGAAAAATGCCAATCAACAATTAATTAATACCTTCTCTTGCAATCTTTGATCCCTTATATACCCTCTCACAATGAATCCACATTCATTGTCTGAATGCATCAGCAAACAATTGGCTACATTTGTGGTCATCATTTAATTGAACTGGTGCGATTAAAATGGAAAAGATTACTCTCAGAGTAATTTTAAGAAACCTGTTTCCTGCCTAAACTATTAATCTAATTTAAAAACTTCATATTCTAAATTGCTAAGTACTGAGAAAATCCAAACAATCAGAAATTTAATAAAAAAGTAAAAAATTAGAACTTTCTACAGAAAAACGGCAATCAGGAAAAATTAGCAGATTTTTAAATGATTGTTTTAGAAGTGAAAATAGCTCCATACGGAAACCCAACTTAACACTTTTCTTACAAACAGTGCTAAAGAATAGAGAGACATCTTACACAATATATCAAAATGTCCCAGAAGGTCTCGTTTTTGCAAATTACAGTGCAAGAAACACAACTCTTGTCCCTTCGGGCACATGACATCCTTCTTTTAAGGGCCTAGAATTCATCATTTCTGAGTTGAGCACATTGTGACATATTCCCCCCCCCCTCTTTCAGGCAGTTAATAAAGGGAAATATACATAAAATGTATGTGTGTGACAGAATTAGATGCATTTAAAATAGTCTAGACCAAGGAATATAAAATCACCAGGACATGTCAAAGGCCTGGACGTGACATTCTTTCTAGACTCCTCCCCTACAACACAAGCTAAATATGATACCCACAAATTACAAATTATATACTACTCATAAAACAAATTGCTTAATTAATGTAAGTTTCCAGTTTGCTCATCAAACTGTAACACAGCCTAAGTCTGAAAAATATTCCTACCATTCTAGACGGTCACTGATCAGAGAGTGATTTCTTCTACCAAATTCTAGCATTACCATTTCCATTGCCCACTCTACATTTGTTCAAAGTCATGTTGTCAGGGCCTTGCTTTGAAAGAATGTCACGTCCTGACGACGTGTATCCCTAGTCTAGACTATTTTATATGCATCTGTCATAATCATACATTTTATGCATATTTCCTTTTATTAAATGCCTTTGAGGAGGAGTTCTGGTATGTCACAACATGGGTGCATTTATAACTTTTTTGTTGCATCATAATTTGAGAACTTTTCATATTTTTTCAGTAAATGTATTCAATGCTCCACTAGGGGAGGAGGGTAGTAAGCACACTTATGGATTTTAGGTCAAATTTGTCTTATATATGATATAAAGCCTTATTATATAAAAGTTATTTACACAGAAAGGCAGTTTTACCTCAGTCAAGACACTTTCAGTCAGTTATTGTGTTCGCTGCACATGGGTTTTTCATATTTTTCTCTTCTGGTCTTTCTTTTCCTCTCCTATATTTGAGATTTGCAAATCAGAAACCAAGAGGAGGGAGTCCTTTAGATTCATTTAATTATCTTTCTTCTTTATGCTAATGGTACCCCAAACAAACAAACAAACAAACAATTGCCAATTTTACTGAGAATATTTCAAAACAGGCTTAAGAGTTGGGAATAGTTTTTTTATGATAAGTGTGGTAAAAGAGACATTTTATTTTGTGAGTAGGAAAGGTTGCAATATGAGGCTGATAAGTCAGACGGCACAATTCTATGAGCAAAACACAATCACTTTTACGATGGGTGAGACATACATTACTTTTTATACAGCCTTACTAACTTTCATTTTATTTTCATTCCAGTATACAGATTACTTAATGATACACTAAGTTCAGCAGTAGCTAATGCAGGCAGGCAAAAGCATTTTGTTTTCTTTGCTGCATGCAGATTGATCTGAATACTTAAGCATCATTTCACTTTTAGCAGGCTATGCAAGCTTTAAAAGAATGCTTTTACTAGTTACGGTGTAAAAAATTATTATAGATCTCTTGACAATAAACATCAGAAAATTCTGTACATCTCAAATAAATTTGCATACTATACATTATAACATTATATCTTGTATCAGATAACTGCGTAGGAAGATGCTTATGTTAGAGTTTGCACAGAATAACAAAGTTAGTGAACAAAGACAGATTATTGCTTTTTCTTATGTTTCAAAATTGAAATTATGACTGAACAATTGAAGGAAGAATGGGAAGTGTACACCTACTGAAGACTCTGATACTGGAGGGTTACCTAAGTAATCTTGTAAAAGACTGCCATAGAAAAATTTTACTTTAAATACGAGAGTTAGACTGATTTATTATTTTATAAAAATATCCGCATTCTCATTACTCATAAATGTGTATATCAGTTGATGATATCAGAGTAATAATGCCATCACTAGCTGATAGATAAGCAGACGAAAATCATAGTCTCAAATATCCAAATAATATGAATACAAGTTTAGAAAATGAATTTTACATGCCCAATCATTTAAGCTAAATGGTTAATTTTTAAGCAACATATTTTGTACTTAATAAAATCCAAAATGTGGTTGGTAGAATTTTGAGAAAATCAGGATCAAAAATTAATGACAACAATAAATTCAGAAAAACCTAAAACATTCTAAAGAACCAGTTAAAGCACTATGTTCTTCTAAAGTCTTCACAGACACAAACACGGTTCTGATAACAAATTTCCCTCTCCTGATTCCCAAATCTCCCTAACAAATGTCTCAAAGTTGAGTTATGGATTTACATTTGCTTTTATATGTTAGAAGCATTTCTCATTTGCACTTCTCGACATAGATTTCCTAATTAAAATTTAAATTAATGGGTATTTAATACCCTTGCCTTCCTCCAAAAGAAAGCATACTAAGAATTATCTTCGATGTCTTCAACAAAACTTCTTGCAAAAGCCAGAAGGACAGTAGAGGCTGAAATATTCAAAATTATAACAAATTATTTATACAAAAGTAATATTTGTCAATATTACTAACAGTTATGTCCTACACTTGGCTGCCAATATGAACAACAATGTTACTGACTCTCAAAAAGGCTTTTGAAATTTAGGCAACTAACAAACTTATTGCTCATAAATAACAATAATTACTAAAAGTCACAAGTAAAACTTACTCACATTAAATAAACTGATTATCACAGATTTCATAAATTTCAAAATGACTCTTCTCACTGATGATTATCATCTTCCTGAATTAGAGCCGAATGTAAATACTGATTACTATCTTGGCGGCGTTGGAGTACTACAACACCTCTGTAAAGAATAAAAAACAAATAAAATTACCACTAAATTAATTTCAGATCAAGAGTAAAGTTCAGACAAGTTTTATAGAGCATAATATACATAACTGGACAAAGACCAACTATCACTCTTTCACACACACACACAAACTTTATTTTGAAACATTTGACATCTTTATTTCTAATTAAAATTGTATACGTACAATAAAATTCTAGGTGGAAAGAGACAGGATACATAGGACCACTCAAGGAGAATGGTATATGTTAAGAAACAAGACATGTAAAGATATCATATATGCTTTCAAGGCTGGTTGGTGTCTGAAGAATCTTGGCTGTCAACAATGAGTCTAACATATAGCACATTTTTTTTTTTCTTACCTGTCCCTGTCCTCGTAGTGTGCATTTATGCTACTTTCCTATCTCTGTAAGACACTGTGTAGGTTCCTTTCTTTGGCAGGGGTGTTTTCAAACAATTTTCTTTCCCCCATTCGAGAGATTAATCTGAGATGCACTTCTCCCCGTACACCACTCAGGTTTTAATTGTTTTGACATAAATAATAAATAATAATAATAATAATAATAATAATAATAATAATAATAATAATAATAATGAAGTGTGAGGAGAGACAGTTAAGGTTATGACTGGTTCATTAGTTAGAGTACTTGTGAGGGTTTGTGATGAAGTAAAGGGATACCTGATTTTTATTTTATTTTATTTATTTATTTTTAAGTTAAATAAGATGAGTCACATCTTATTTTGTTAAGGTATTTATTGAGGGGTTGAAATATGAGGAAATAGTTGGAAAAGAAATGTAGGACATAAGAGAGTTGTGTCATTTTGTTGAGGCAGTTTGTAACTGACAGAATGTGAGTGTGTATTTGGATATGTGCATGTGTGCGCTGATGTATGTATTCGTGGTTGGACTGTAGTGCACATTTTTCATGTCACCACAAGATTGGGACTGTTCTGTTCTCTCACTTGAAGTTTTGATGGATGAGTCATAGTTTACTCCACATGATTAGTCTTGTAATGTCTCTTTGGATTTTATTTTTAAACATGATAAAAATTTTATGACTCTGCAACACTTTATAGTACATCTAGTTGTATTGTCTATCACTTTCAACTATCACTGGGCTATTAGCATGAGCTGCATCCTCTCCCTTGATTTATATACAATTTTTGCAATGACATTTTGCATTAAACTATGCCATCCAAACCTTAGCGACCTTGAATACCTTTGCTCTGTTAATGCAGGGCACTCACTGGTCACTCTGATATCCCTATATTCTCCCTGTGGTTTTCCAACTTCTCTGCCTTAAAGCATCTACACATTAAATTCAAAATGCAAACAGTGTCATAAAGCAAAATTAAATTAAATATTTTGAACAATGATTCTAAATCAAGATTAAAATTTTTCAATTCTTTTTCACTACAAAATTCTCTCTAATTCTGCTACCTAATGAACAATTAAATGATTTAAAATTTTAAAAAAATGTTGAATATGTATGCTTTGAATTTTTTTAAATAAAAATTATTCACTGTTTAAAAATATTTTTTCCATAACTGTTGAAAAAATTTAAAACATATCATTTTCAAAAAATTTAAAAGTTAAAAGGATTTTTTAAGGCCATTAGATCTATGAAAAATATGATGTGACACTGTGATGGCATAAGAAAAAAGGATGAACGATAATCATTAAATCACATTTTATTACCTAGTATCTAGCAAAAGTAAGTTTGAAACATTTTGGTTTCTGTCACCAAATTCGAAGTAAAAAAATGAAAATATTGAGAATGTTGGATTCTACTGCAGGACAGTTAAGAGGTGCTAAGAAGATAATTCTCTTTCCCCCTCTCTCTATCTCTCTCATTGACATTTAGTTGCAGATTCCATATGTCTCTGGGCAGGTGGGGTAATATTGAGAAGAGCACGACCAGCACAAATGTAACAGAATATTTCATCCTGTAGATTACGGTGTGAGAAACTTTTCTTTAAGACTTTTGGCCTCAAAATTTTAAGTTTTTGATGCCCTAGAAGGCATTGTGTAGGAGTTATTTAACGACAAAGATTAAAAAATACTGCCAGGTGTTGCGCGTTGCGTTCGATGTGAATATTTCTTTTTTTTGGTGGTGTTACCACAAAATTAACAGCACATATTTTACTATTTTCACAATTTTTTTCCCAACAATTTTCTTAAATTTATTATAAATATTTTATGGGGAAAAAAAAAAAAATCGAAAATTCCGCATTTTCCTCTATATTATTACTACATACTGTCTACTCGAGGTATGCTATGTGAAGATGCGGTCAGATATTCTCAGACCAGCAATCCTCCTTCAGTTATCTCGGTAACTAGAAGTGTACATCTGCGACTGAGATCATTTTCACATTTAGATGTGAAAAGTATAA